TGCAACTCATAATCATGGTATGAACCTACGCTGATGGCAGTCAATTCTGATCGCAAACTGCTCCGATGGCAGACTGGTCTGGTCGTAACCTGCACCGATGGCAGTCTGGTCTGGTCGCAACATGCCCCGAAGGCAGGGAAATCTGTTCGGAATCTGCTCTTGTCGCTATTCTGGTGACACTCTATTCCAGTGACACCAATAGCAACTTATTGCAACTCATAATCATGGTATGAACCTACGCTGATGGCAGTCAATTCTGATCGCAAACTGCACCGATGGCAGTCTGGTCTGGTCGCAACATGCCCCGAAGGCAGGGAAATCTGTTCGGAATCTGCTCTTGTCGCAACCTGCTCTGGTTGCAGCCTGCTCTGGTCGCAACCTGCTCTGGTTGCAGCCTGCTCTGGTCGCAACCTGCTCTGGTTGCAGCCTGCTCTGGTCGCAACCTGCTCTGGTTGCAGCCTACTCTGGTCGCAGCCTGCTCTGGTCGCAACCTGCTCTGGTTGCAGCCTGCTCTGGTCGCAACCTGCTCTGGTTGCAGCCTGTTCTGGTCGCACCACGCTCTCATAATTAAAAAACAAATAAATAAACCCTATCATTATGCTCGAGCCCAAGTGTGAAAGTTTGGGTCATAGAATTCGAAGGCCGCTAAAAGAAAAGATGTGTATGCTTGAAAAATAATAAATTGTTAAAGCTTCAATACATAAGTTCATTTTGAACAAGTATCGAGTACATGTGCACCCAAATTGGTTTGTGTGTTCCGAATCTTAATTAGATCGAATTGAGGGGGATGTCATATTCCTTCTTTTTTGCAACTGGGCTTTACACACACACACACACACACTGATACACATACACACATACACATACACACATACACACACACACGCATACATACCATTGACCAGTTTAGCTACTGTATTGTGGGCACTATGCTTAGTCTGATTGCCCTCTACTGTTTCAATTGGGGGGCTTTAACAGGAGTGTCAGTGCAACAATATAGGAGTTCTGGCTTTTTGCTATTAATCAAAGTCACATTTCGGCATCAAATATATATGATTTTGATCAGTAGCAAAAATAATCAAAGTCATTTAATTTTTGATAAATTTTTGCTATTAATCAAAGTCATCTATATGTAATGCCATAATAAGATTTTAAATATATATGAATTTGATAGTATCAAAGAATAATCAGTCATATTGTTTTTTGATAACTTTTGGCTACTAATCAAATTCATATATATGTGATGTCAAAATATAACTTTACATATATATTACTTTGATTAGTAGCAAAAAGTAATCAAATAGTAATATGACAACTTTTTGATATTCCTTTTTTTATTACTTTTTGCTACTTATCAAAGTCATATTTAGCATCATTTGCTTTAATCAATATCCAATCACACAAGGCTGACATTACGTTGTGTCTAGGAACAGAATAATAAAATAAAAAATTAAAACATATATTATTTTTTAATTAAACTTTTAAAGCTGGAAGAGATTTAACACCAGGCCTCAACAGTTGGTGATATAGCTCGTGTGATTTGTTATTTTAAAAAAAGGATGAAAAACATACCTAGCTTTTTAGATATCATGATAACTATTTGACACTGTCAGGAATTGTTCTACGTTAAGCATACAACAAGGATAGTAAAATGAAACGTGCCGAACAAGAGCTCAGTACAGGAACTCATCATTCCTTCCAAATACAATCGGGGAACAGGATCAAGCTTCCAAAGGAACAATTGAGTCGAATACACTTGGCACAGTTGCGTCTATTGCCTCCTGGCTTCCAATCGCCCGGTGCATAATACATTTATTGCTGAGTAGCCCTTGCATTCAGTGAACTATCCCTTTCAAAACCAGGCCCAGTTATATCGTGATACCCTTTTCAAACAAAGGAGCCGGAATGATCTATATATTGATCGTTGGCTCTCAAAAATATAGAAGAAAAAGAAGAACAAAAAACCGTGGTTAATTGTTTTTGGTACAGTGAATAGTTTATTAGTTCACATTTTATTTAAAGCTTACATTAATTATATATATATATATATATATATATATATATATATATATATACTATTTTTGTATATGTTGTATTTTATGTTCGGAAGGTTCAGAACTTCATCTACTAATCTGAGCTAAAAACAGTTATGAAAAGGTTTGATTCTAGAGATAGGTCGGTCTACTTGTAGACGCCAGCAGGAATTCGGAAGGCGTAAGGGATGAGGTCGGGGGTGGGGGGAGAGGGGCTCGATTGATAATCAAGTTTCAAGCTAAATAGTCATTTTAGAAGGGTCCCCGGTCATCTGACCCACTTGACCTATGCTTCGGGCAATCATGTGAACACAGACACGCGTAAACACATTATGTCTTTCAGAGGCCTCGAAAAAGAACTTGGATCCAATTAAAAACTAAATTTTAAAATTGTTTGTACGGGGAGAGTTGGGTTCTCCATGCATAAAAAAATGAGAGCTTCAGGGAGACTAAGTAAGGAGAAAGTCACAGGTCCTAAATTTTCATCTTAAAATCCGTATTTCCTTTTTACACTACATATAGTTAGGGACGGGGACGATATCAATGTCCAAAGGGACGATATCAGTGCCTAAAGGCCTCTTGATTTCCTAATCTGACACTGGTTTACATAAATATTCACTCCCAAATGTGAACTCAGATTAATATTATTCTTATGTCACTGTTTCTCCAGACCCCCCCCACGCCGCGCGCCCCCCCCCCCCCCCCCCCCCCCCCCCCCCCTGGTTTACATAAATATTCACTCCCAAATGGGAACTCAGATTAATATTATTCTTATGTCACTGTTTCTCCAGACCCCCCCCACGCCGCGCGCCCCCACCCCCCCCCCCACCCCACACACAACATAAATTAACGTAGTCTGCTTCCAAATTCACTCTCAGTTCATCTACTTTATTCTAGTTAAATATCCTCAAGCACTATCTAGTTCTGTGTTTTTTTTCCCATAAACATTGGCTTGTAATTTTTTTTTCATTCAATGTGATATGCCTTATTTTGCACCCTTACTGACTTCTATAAATTCATTCACTTATTTTTTAACTTTTTGGAAATATACACATTTTTTGTTGAGACTGAGCCAGTCGCTATTTATGGCCCCAGATGGCATACTAGGAAATGAGCAAAACAAAGTATGAGGAAATCTTAAGAAAAAATTGCACAACAAATCAACGAACGTGTCGGCAAGAAGCCTTCTTCAGCAAACAAACAAAAGTAAAAACAATATAAACAAAATTTAAAATGAACTCTTAGCTGCAGTGTAGTATGTGAGAGGACAACAAGAGGGCCAACCACATTCCTCTTGCAGATTACCAGATAGTATACAAGCAGCGTTAGAGACCTATGGCCTTCAATGTAAAGGAAATCCATTACGTAGGAGTCCCTCCGTTCTCCGACCCCATATAGTCTAGAGCAACGGCTTTCAACCTTCCTAATGCCGCGACCCTTTCAATCAGTTCTTGGTGTTGTGGTGACCCCCAACTATACCATTATTTTCTTTGCTACTTCACAAATATGTCTTTTCCAATGGTCTTAGGTGACGCTTGTGTAAGGGTCGTTCGACCCGGAAACGGGTCATCATCCGCAGATTGAGAGCCGCTGGTCTTGAGGGAAGTGTGACTATGCATGTGGAGAACATTGAACTATAATTTAGCATTTGAAAGATCGAGCCAATTATACTAAAATGGTGAGACACTTAAATATAAGGAAAGTCTACGTGTGTGTTGTGAGTAAAAATGTATTTATATTAAACTCATACACTAACACATCTGAAATCATTCGTTGCCTTCTTATTACTTGGGTGTTTCCGTTTACGCCATCTCTTGCCTCCTCTGGGTCCCCTTCGTTTTAAAATCCAACATGCCTTCTGATCACAAGAACTTACTCCTCCTGCTACTGTTTGTGATGTAATCAGTATCTTCCAAGTTTGAGCTACTAAAACATTGAAAGTGTCTTCTTCCGAATGGCCAGGCGTGTTCACTTCCGTTGTTCAAGTTTCTTTGTCCTGAAATGACATTTTAAAAAAAAAAGGTAATGACTGTAAACTTAAGACGTGATCAACATACATTAAGCCTTTCTTTTCAAAGAAAAATTTCGCGTCTTCTACCCAAGGGATCTGGCATTAATTTAGCAAACATATAATTCATTTTCGATCAGATTATTGCTGGCAACTTTCAATACAATAACAAAAATAAGTTGTTATGTTTTTTTTGTGTGGATGAGTATAGTTGCAGATCATAAAGAGAACAGTAATTTAAATAAATATATAGATGTGCTATAAAATAATGCAATCGAATCATTTTTCACTGATCATCCCCTTGCACTGCTATAAAGATACTACTTTACTTACACAGTGATTTATATTTCAGAGAGTTATTTTACAACATCAAAAAAAAAACTAATGCTGCTGACCAGGTTATGCGTGTCGCGGAAGACAGCTAGCAGCACATTACACTCGTAGATAACTTAAGAAGAAGCACTTTAGGATGCGACCTACTTTTACGAGATTAGTGCAGACTAGGGAGGGAAAATCCTTTGGCAGGTTTAGTGACAGAATGGGAGGATTCGAAAAATATTTGGTTTTGTTCAAGAAGTTCTGCGGCTTTCGCGTGCTCTACCAGTCTTTGTATTTCAGTTAGAACCTCACATTTATAACTTTAAACGGGTTAATATAAAACAAAATACATAGTAAATAAGACGCGTAAGGTAAGTCAATACTTACGTGTTGGAAATTCCTTTGTTACCCCTCTAGTAGACATCTTCCAGTTCTGCTGCTTCGAAAGATTTAGAATAACTGAATGAGGGTTTCAAACTGGTTGCATTGAAAAACGTGTGTAGAAAGCTGGAGCCGTTGTCCAAGCGTAGACAGCTGAAGAAGTAGATCAAAGACACGGCTGCCCTCAGTAGACCCAATGATGCCTTCCACCTCGATAAATCAGACCGTTTATCGACGAAGTCATCGACTTCTATCTTCAGCTGATTCAGTGTTCTGCTCTGTTCTCGGGAAACACTTAACAACTTAATGGTTCTTCTGTCAGTTTCATCCATATTTCTTTGAAAAGATTTTAACTTCCCCAGCAAAATTTGAAATTGTAACGGTCTCTGTTTTAGATCCTGGACTGCGCCTTTCAGTTTGTTCTTGCTAGTCGGAAGAAAACGAAAACAGTGATCTAGTGCAGTTTTCAATTTACATTCACTGAGCAGAACGTCATCTCCTAATGCTGATAGTACATCATGCTCTGATCTTAAAAGCTTTATTTTCCAAAGTATCAAGATGGAATCGTGTAATATAAAAGTGTTTATCTCATTTATGGGTATCTCCAATTCTTGCGAAGATGTCCAGTCTGTGCTTTCAAATGTTGGTTGATCAAATATGGACTGCATTGTTTCAAAGTGTTCTGATTTTCTGGCACTTTCCCCTTTGAAAGCTACCCGCCAATCGACTATCAGTGGCCACCTTAAAGAGTCAGTACTTCCACAAAAGTTTAGTTTGATTCGCAGACACAATGTTTCCTTATTAGATTTTCTTACGCACGCCTGAACAAGACAGCTGGACGATTGGCCTATTTCTTGAATCGGCGATGCGTTCTCAAAACTCGGCGCGTCGTCCAATTCAGAAAGATCAATTTTAGTTAATATGTTTGCACACTTATCTTTGATTAAATTAAATAGATAGTGCGCAATGTCTTCTGAGACATCGTGTTTGTTGTCAACTTGTTTGTTGTCCACTTGTCTGTAGCCTTCTTTTTCATTCTTATTTTTCAATAAATCTCCACTTTCTTTTCTTCTTCCTAAGTCATCATGATATTCGAGACTCGTCTCTGGGGTGGAAGACAGTATTTCAATTGTCAACATTAACAGGATACATTTTTCCGTTATAAAATCTTTGATGTCGTCGTACGTTGCTTGTAAATCTTGCGAATAGACACTATCTGAGCTCTCCGCTGTTGGCCTCTTAAAAGAAGTGAAAGCTCTGGCTAATTCCACATTCTCTCTTCTCTTATTTCGTACCCCTACCTTCCATCTTACCGCCAGCGGCCAATTGAAGTTGCATTGTTTTTCAAATGAAGTTAATTGTAAACGGAAAGCAAACATTTCACCAGCAGATTTTCTTACACACGTTTGAAGCATGCATCTACAATTGTGGCCGAATAGAGGCATTGGTAAGACCTGTTCATACATTGGCCTTCTTTCAAATTCTGAAAGTTCAATTTTATTTAACATGTGTATCTTAACATCGCCAAGGTCTTTACCGAATCCATGGCTCGGTTGAGTGGTTTCAACCGTGACGCCTGTGATGGCAACCCCCTCTCGGTTGCTACTACTGATTAAATTATCTCCCCCTGATTCAGAAAGATCTGTGTTTGTTTGTTCTTCGACACCGAAATATTCATTAAATTTGAGATTTTTTGGTTGTGGTTCCTGAGGTCTGACCAGTGGTTCAGCTTTGCGTTTATCTGAATCGGGTAAACCAATGTTCCAACGTGTATTTAAAGTACTAGAAACGTCATCACCAATTAAAGGTAATGCTCTTCCAATTTCTCTCAAAGATGAACCCACTTGACTTAAAATCAATTGATTTGTAATATCGGGTTCCAGGTCATCATCTGGACTCTGATTTTCTCGGGGGTTCTCATAAACAGCTTGTTCAGACATTGATTTCTCTACACGGGTTTGGGTTCTTGTTGTTTTCTTTGGGTTTTTTTTACAAAAAGTGTACTCCATCTTGTAAACTAGTCCGTCATTCGTGTTGTGAATTTGATGTTTGGTAACTGTAATGAATGTAATCAAGAAAAGACATTGTCAGTTCTGTTATCTGTTACATAAAATTTGTGCAGGTGGTTTTTCCTCTTTTTTTTTTCTTCAAATCTGCCCTAGATAAAAGTACATTAATGCATTTCAGAAAGTAAAAGCGAATCATTGTTTATGGCAACAATTAAAGTGTGGGCTATTAAATGAAGTAAATGACACAAGTTTCTGTCCCTAAGTTACTGAACCAACATTTTAAATCCATGTATCCAAGCTTAAAACTAAGAGACATCCTGGATTGCACTCATTATTGGTCTTAATTCATAACATAAAAGATCTACATAGCATAGGTAAAAATAACGTTTTTTGTGTGTGAGAAGTTAATTTTTAAAAAAAATGTTTATGCTTGTGCCATTAGAAATATTTCCCATTGTAACCATTCAACATAAAATTTAAACCATATTTAGACGTTTATTCCCTCCCCCCAACCAAATGTTATATATTTTTATCTGGATTTCAATTGGCTTTTTGATTGTCTAAAATAAAAGGCAGCAATATTGTTTCTGATTTTTTTTTTAAGGAGAGAGGGAGGGGGTTGGAGAGGGGGTGGGGGGTCAAGGGATATTCCCATCTCTCGTTAAATATTGTTTTCTTTTTTTTTTCTTTAAATTTTAAAAAAAAAAAGTAATCCTTGAAATGATAGTGTGCTTTTTTTTCTTTCTTTTTTTTATCAGCAAGGCTATTAAAGTTGTACACTAGGTAGTTAAGAAATTTCTATTATAAGGATTCTAACATTAAAATTAACAGGAACATGCTTACAAGGATCTTCAAGAACAGTTTGGTGAAACGTTTATTAGTCCTTTCATGCTACAGATCAGATCAGTGTTAAAAAGCTACAAAATACCAGGCGCAGTTCAACAGTTCTGTTTAAATGTAGGGCTAATCTTTTAGTCATTTTTGGTAAAGTATTAGTCACACGACTCTCAAAACAAATTAAAATTATTTTGCCTTGTTATAGAGTATGTCACTCTACTCTATTTGTGGAACGTTTCTATGCAATCGCCCGACCCCTCCAACCTGTCACAATCTGTCAAAAAATTTCACAATACCCTACCCCCCAAAACCCCAATGCCCAAACTAAGTCAAACTTTCCAACTAATTTGTATTTCTTTTTTTTTTTTAAATGAGCAAGTATATAAGATATAATCTAAAACACACTTCGAAATTAAACTTAATCATTTGTTATATTAAACTGAAATCTTCTGTTACGAGCCACACTGCATCGCTCACAAGAGAAAGCTCAACATCACTGTCATTTCAGTTTTTTGTTTGTTTTTTTAAGCTATGAAAATTAAAAGTTTTTGTTTTTGTTTTTTTAAATGTACAATGTCTCACAATGCCCTAAACTATCACCCCCACCCACCTCCGACCCCAAGGGCAAAAAGGTCACACTTTGTAGCCCCCTCCCCCCCCCCGCGGAGCGTGACGTACTTATGGACACCCCCTCCCCCCTTTTTTTTTCTTCTTTTTTTTTTCCTTTACCGAATTTACTGTTATGCTAAGTTTTTTCGATCAAATTTTCGATCATACATTTGATGCGAGTTTTTATTGAAACCCTTTTGTATCTTTCAAATTACTGTTTGATCAATGTCTTTTCTTTTTTTTTTTTTTTTTTTTTTTTTTTTAAAGGAAAGAAGCCACGCCCAAAATGGTGCGGTCATTCATATTTTTTACGAAAATTGGATCTTGTGAGATGTGAAGTGCATTAGGCAAAAAAGACAACAGTTACTTGACAGATTATGAACATGAATGATTTCAGTTAACTTCGGACAAAAGTGATGGGCTAAAAGGAGAAAAAGAGTATATGTGAACTGAGAAATCAAAATAATACCGTAAACATGTCCCGAACCGTCTAAGGGGGAACCAGAGAACCACAACAGGATTTCGGAAACCCAAGTGGCTACACGTCTCTCAGTTTTAACGGCACATGCGCACGTTCCCACTCTCACCGTCAGCAGTAACTGGGTTAGACATCTGACATAGTGGTAATCATGGTTCTCAGTTTCATGGTTCTCATGGGGCCATCTAGACCAATAAAAAAAATACATAAATAAAAAAACAATAATAATACAAATCAATTTAAAAATATTGATAGACACAAAGTCTAAATTTGCATTTTGTTTTAACAAACTACCTAATTTTAAACTGACATATTTTTATTATAAGCTAACGAATTTGCAACAACGTTACAAAGTTCAATATTCTTAAGATTTCTTTTTTATTTTTATGTATGCACATATCATGCTAGAGTTTATTTTTTAATGTTAAGTTATTGCTTAACATTATGATCAATGTTGACTTTTGCCTGTTTATTGTGCCTAATGTTTGAGGCAAGTAAGCCGAAGTCACAAAAGTTGAGGTATATCTTTTGGTTGAGCTTCAACATCATTTTTTTGTTTACAATTGCTTTTAATTTTCAATAAAATTTTTAAATAATTATTTTTTAATGGAAACCCTAAATTTCTCGCTTACGTAGAAGTTATTTTAGGTCAAATTTTTAACAAACTGTTTAATGTTGTGACGGTTTTTCTCGAAAAGGTTATGCAAGTTACTTTAATTTAATGTAATATTATCTCAAGCTCCAGTTTACTAATTATACTACGTTATAAAGTGGTTGCATGGTTTAAACAAGTTAATAAGTTGATTACTGATTTTTAAAAAAAAAATATCAAGATAAAAATATAGAAAAAAAATTTTAGTTTCAAAATTAAATTATTTTTGACGTGTCTCATTCACATTTTATTGTGACGCCTTAATTTAGAAATTGGTAGAGAAAAAAAAAAGAAGGAGTGTGGGAAGGAGCGGTAATTACTATTATGATCAAGTTTATGCCTGGGTAAGACAGAGCAATGCAAAGATTGACTTGATGGCTTCAATTTGTATTTTATTTTTTTTATGGGGGAGGCGAAAGGAAACAATCTGAGGACCACTGTTGTAAACGAAAATGTTTGAGCACTGCTGAATAAAAGGTTGCCGGGATGTGGAAAGTGCAACGCACTCTATTATTACTTTAAGCGTATGTATACATTTTCTAATCACCCATATGTGAAGTATAATATAAAAAAAGAACATAATACGTGAATAGTGTACAATGGCAAATATCGTTAATTAACGTTATAATGGATCAGCGGAAAAAAAAAATAAGATCTTAACACAGTAACACAGGTTTATATAGGTCAGGTCATATAATATATTATTTTCACTATATTTTTAAAGTTAAAAATAAAGGTTATAGTAAGTTACAGCATTAAAATGTATCTGTGTCCCTGTTTTTACAGTAAATTGAGTTATTAGCCTAATAAAGGCAAATATATTTATATATATTTTTTTAAATCACGAAAGCTTACCATATTCATATGGCTACGTCCCACACAGGCATAAGAAAATCCTGTGTCTATTTTTAGGGGTTTGTAATCCACAGGGCTGTGTCACTTGAGGCGGCGGACACGGTCATACGGAATTCAACACATCCTGCATTATGTGCCGCTGTAATGTAACGTGGCAATCTTGAATAAAGTGTGAGGAACTCTTCAGTGGAACGTGGAAACTAAGGATTGGGGAAAGTGTGAGCTTTAGCAACTGCTATTAAGATATCGCTGGCATAGTTCTCCCTCAATAACTAAGTTGAAGTAAGTGTCTGGCTATCACAAAGTGAATAAAGCAAGTTAACGCTACCATAGCACACCGTCACGTGACCCACATTATCTTTTAGTGAAGTAGACCGTTGTGCTGCAGTGGTTCCCAAACTCTGAGTTTGGTGGACCGGTGGATGGTTCTCCATTGCACCAGGCACCAGGACCCGTCGCCAGATGCACTATTTATAGTTTTCTTTTGTTCATTTGATCTGAAATATGTCATACGTTAACTATGTGTAAGTCTGTTAAGAGCCTATTCCACATCCCGTTTCTACCGGCGTATAAGACGCCTGGGTGTATAAAACGACCCCCCTACTTTTCCTGTTAAAATCTACGGTTTGGGTTAAACTTGCCGTATAAGACTACCCCTCTTCCAACACACAACAAATAAAATTTAAAAAAAAAACATCAGATTTAATTTCAATTTATCAGATTTAATTTTTTAATTGAAATGCTTATGACATGCAAGCAATTATCAGGAAAACAGTCCTTTAAAGACATAAGTGCCATCAAACATTTACACATAAAACAGTTCCAGTGGATTAAACTTTTCCTAATTCACTCTAAAAGGAAGGATAAGACAGTAAACTCATGGGAGCTGCCATGCTCTTTCTTTTCTGTCAACCAAACCGGAACTAGAGGGCGTCTGTCCCTGAAGTTTCAGCACGGCGTGTGCCAGCTTATAAGACGACCCCCAACTTTTGAAAAACTTTAATGAGTAAAAAAAATTCGTCTTAATACGCCAGAAATACGGTAACTCTATTCATTATCATCATTTAAAGCACGCATAATATAATTTACACCGACCTACAATTATGTAAGGTATCCTTTATGTTAAGGAATAAAGCAAATCACTCCCTTACCCTCTCTTAAACCTGCCGGACTATACATAAGGATTAAATTAGTCTGATCTAATACAAAAAAATACAGAAATCACGTCACATGATGTCATGCTTTAGAACTAAAAGAACGCATTTGAACCTACACAACATTTTCCCAATCAAGGGATGAGTGGGTAAAGAATAGCACAGCACATGTACCCGGTGACGTCCATATAAAGGCAAGTGGTGTTGGGTGAAAATTAGGTCGACACGTATGCCATAATAAATACTACAACGTAAGGAACGTACGTGCTAACGTTAAGCACGTTTTGTTTCATTCAAACGTGTAACTGCTCCCCAATATTTACATGCTTACAAATACTGTGGGAACGCGTCTTAGAGGAAACAATCCCAATGTTAGTTATCTTAAACCTTGTTCCTGTAATTAAGTTTGCATATAGATATGGAATTTCATGAATATATGGAACATTGGTGGTTATTAGAATTTGATGAATAATTTGATTTGTATTTGATTTACATTTCTGTAAATAGTCTGTTTGATGGAACTACCATTCTGAATGAAGTTCTCTTAATATAACTAACTCATAGTATCTTATCTTTAAATTTAGTAAATTAAATTTATACAGATACAAAATATAAACATCTAATTTTTTTTATTGTTTTCTAATTTCAAGGATCAACTTCACCCCCATCATTTAATAGTTATAATACTTGACAAGGCCTAATATATGGCTGGCTCGGATTTAGACCTCAGAAGCAGTGTTAACCTACTTCTGCAGTTAACTAGGTCAAACCAAAAAGCATCGTTAAAAACTGGAACAGACACTTCATTTTATATTCATAAAATACCAAAGTTCAGACAAAGATTTCTACAATTCTATGAGGAAACCACACCGGAAATTGAAGTAGATGAGTCGTATATTTGCACCGGACGACTAAAGTTCTATCAAGATCAAAAGCTCTACATCTACTTGGAAACAGAAATCCTCAACGACTCTGAGATCAATACGTCCGCCGCCACCCTATGGCCGGTAAAAGTCACCTGGAAGGTCGAAGCCTATGACGGCAGAGATCCTAGGAACAGACAGAAAACGTTGCTGCTCGGAGAAGCATCTTGCGTGTTCAACAGACCACGTCAGGGGTTCAAGTCTCACCCCAACGATTGGATCTCCATCGATCTGGCTACAGTAGAAAGCTCCGGTCTGATAGCTTTGGACGGCTCGGTCACACTAAGGTGGAGCATATTTACCGAGCAAGTTTTAATGGTCACCTATGTGGAGGAGTTTTATAAATTGCTGGACATCATAAACGCGCAGTGTGAAGGCCTTGACGTGCCGGGCACTTCTCCGGATTGCCCATCGCAGGATCTTCAAAAACTTGGTGAGCAACTATTAACCGCTGAACAAAAATTTACCGAAATCAACGACAAACTGAACAGCATTGAACACGAAACGGTCGGCTCCCAGAAAATTATCATGTCCATGTGGGAAAAGATAAGTTATCTGATGAATGTTATAAAAGACTTGCTGAAAGACAAGCCAGCGGCAACGGGAGGGGAGAGTGAGGTTTAAATGTTTAGAAAGAGATACAGCCCCCCCCCCCACACACACACACGTTAGTCATGAAGATGTGTGTAAGTTTAATCCCGTTTATCATTTTTATGTCCCTCCCTAATCACCCAAAATACATTGTTTACTTTTACAATAAACCAGTCCATTCCTCGTTGAATTAAAAAAAAAGAAAATAAGTTATTAACCGTGAAATTTTTGTCTGAAGATTATAATATAAACATTTCATTCCAACAACTTCTTTAAGTCTTATAGTTTTGTGAAGTTGACTTAAATGTAGATCAACGTTAATGATTTCTTAGAAAGGAACACACAATTTGAAACATTTAATTCGAAAGGATTTCAGATATCCGTGTTATCCTTTTATTCTGTAAATACATTTTATGTATGGTTTTTGTAAGCTATGCGTGTATTCGTTGAGGAAAATATGCAACTGGATGTATTCCTGTGTCCCCTTTCAAAACATTGTTAACAGTGCTGACTGCAATAGGATATCAGATGTCGCATTAAAATAAATAATATTAAAATCCAAAAATTTCAAATAGAAAAAAATTAGATCAAAATATTTGAACTTCACTCGGTCTGAATTCACAACTTTACAAAGATACAATTAGTTTTGCTGTTGTACTTCGGATGACTTTGTTTCTGATCTTTGTCTTTTATGACGGCTTTGTGTCAAGCTTTTTCTGTTTCAACCTTTAATTATTCAATAGATATGATGTATATAATATTAAGTAATATTACATTTAATTTTTTTTTTTAATGTTTTTTTTTGTTTTGTTTTTTAAATTATTTTTTTTTTACTGATGGCAGCCAAAAAAGTCTTAAAGTTGTATTAATTCTATTCATTAAAGCTTACTTATATTGTATTATGTACACACATTGTTTGTGTTTTAATTTTTCTTGAGCAAATATGTTCGATTTATCACAATATGCACATGAACTTTTAGAGACATATACACGGGTTACATGCAAGAATAAAATAAATTTCCAGTCGTCTCAT